CTGAAAATAAGGAAAATCACTCGGCCTATTAGGCAAATCGGGCCTTGCATAGTAGGCAGTGAAGTGCGTTTACTAGGTACGACATACATATTATTTATATATATATATATATATATATATATATATATATATATATATATATATATATATATATATATATATATATATATATATATATAATAAATAAAATAAATAAATGTTTATTTAGGTAAGGTACATAAATACAAGAGATTTTACAAAGCTTGATCGATTTATACATAGAGCTAGTACATACAATGCCTAAAGCCACTATTACGCAAAGAATTGTCGATTGCGAGTTGGGAATGAACCCAACTGTACTACTGGGACCCTAAATGGAGCACATAGTACAGTACATATATGGAGTCTACATGTACTATACTTGTCCTAGAAGATATTATGTTTGGTTGCTGCCTTCTTTCTGAGGATTTTTTTTTCCTAGGTCCTAGGAAACTCAGGTCCTTTTTTTTAATTCAAAATTTTAACTATTTTTTAGTTAACACTGTTCACTTTTTGAATATATACTATACAGTATGTACTGTGCTATAATTCTGGGGAGGCTTTACTCATTTTACACTGTAATTAAATGGTATAATATAGTTTGCGATATTTTCTGTGGGAGATCCAGCATCCCCACACTAGACATCTTCATTCCTTGTGATCTATTTCCTATACGCTGGCGATGTTTACTTGAGGATTTCTAAGCATTTTTCTTTTTTATATAAACAACTTATGAATAGAAAAGATATCAGACAGATCGTCCGGCTAGGACAGGTTAGAGGAAAGAGAGGCATCATTACATAGAGAAGTGTTATATTGGTACCGCATGTATATTTAAAATGATGACTGGAGAGTGAAGATGAAGGCAGACAACTCTGGTGCTGGCACAGACCCTTTCTATAAACAAGCCACGGAGCACAGTTCTGGTGGCAGAGGATGAGGTGACTTGTAGCACAGTGGTCAGCTCAGTTAGCTCACAATCCATAGAGACTGAGTTCAAACCCTGAGCAGGACAAGACATTTGGGCACATCTCCATGCACCAGATGCCTCTGCTCACTTAGTAGTAAATATGTATCCAAGAGTTAGGCACAACTCAAGAATTGAGGGTTTCAATCTGAGAAATGTCCGTTCTTAGCATAGATGGCTCTTAATAAGCCTGACAGACTTTCTTTGTACAGTTGGGATAACTAAATCTTGTTAATGAGTTTGATTAAGCAGTTTCCAAATAATATACTGTATATACTGTTGTTAGCCTTAAGACTGGCACAGCATCACTAAGTAAAAAAATTAATAATTCATGACTAATACACATACAGCAGCAGTCTCTCTCACAATTTCCAGTTTCCTTAGTAAAGCATGAGAACTATATAGCCATCCCAGAATAATACTTTTCGATAATTACTGTACTTAAAATAGAGCTTTTGTTTTGTTGCAGACATAATTTCCATAGATTACTGTCCTATATAGGCACATGTGCACACCTAGTAGTTAATCTCTATAGACTGAAGTTATGAAGAAGAAATTCTGCACAGGAATGGCTTAGGCCTACCACATTTAGTTTCAATATAGTGAACCTGTACTGTACTACTGTACATAGGAAGACACTCGATATGATTTGTGGAGGAAAGTTTTTTTTTGTTAGAATGTAATGTGAAATTATGACAACACTCACCACGGCAGCTTTGTTTCTTGAATATTTTATTATTATTATTATTATTATTATTACAGAATTTTATTTAAATATTATACTGTACAAGTTTTTTTTTTAAATATTACATAAGAGGGCACCTGACAGCTAAAACAGGCAAAAAGTTTCTTTCACCCTGATGCACCTGTTACCTAGCAGTAAATAGGTACCTGGGAGTTAAGACAGCTGTTACGGGCAGTTTCCTGAGTAACAAAAAGGAGGCCTGGTTGAGGACCGGGCCGCGGGGATGCTAAGCCCTGAAATCATCTCAAGATAACCTCAAGAGGGTACACAAGGACAAAACATTTGGCATAGACCAAATTATGAAACTAGTACTCCCAAAAACTACCATTGTTACTTTCATTAATGCACTGATACTTGTAAAACATATATTTAGGGTTTCTCACTTTAATAAGTTGTTTCTACTATATTATTTCATTACTACTGTACATTAATATAAAATAGAATAAGAAGGTTTATATAATGAACATAAATGTAAGTATATCTAGCTACAGCTATGCAAGCCATTTATTGCCATCACTTCCTTATTTCTTGCACATATGACATGACAATGTTATTTATTGTTTTACCAATAAACTTTATAATTTTCCTTTTTCCTTATGTTAAGAGCACTACAATATGTTGATAGTTTATGTCCAATGATAGGCAGCACGGGAGGAAGACCAACCAGACCACCACCAGCCCTCCATTTCTTGCACATGCAGTAAAAATTTAATATTTGATTTATTGTTTATGTTAATAATACATAAATTTTGTTCTATATTTATATATGAAGTAGCTATGTCAAGCACATGCAAAGGAAATACAGTAAATGTGAATAATACAAAGGCAAGATTACCGTTGTATGGTCTGTGAATACTACCTCTGCCACTGTAGTGTTATAATTGCTACTGCCTGGTGTAATTTGTACATACTATAAGTGGTGCCTAACAAGGGTAAGATAAAGCTGAAGAACAATATCAGTAGTCGTGTTTCAATTTTTTTTTTTTAGATATGAATCACCGTAACCTATTTACCTTGTTTCCAACATTTATACAGTACATTGTTTTGACTTAAGATCCCTACTATTCATGACTCCCAAACCTTTTTGCATTCAGATTTGGCCATTTCAATAATGTTGGCTCAAGGCTCAAGCCATGCTATTATTATTATTATAATTAAACTACATCTGTCAATCTTTTGTCCATTTCAAAAACCTTATTTCTATTGAAGTATCCATATGAAGTATCCTCACCTAGGTAAACAAACCCCCAAATTCCATGAATTTCTATCTTTCTAATCAATTTTTTATGACATGAAGCATCACAGGACTTGCAAAAGTCAATGTACACAATGTCACGATCCCTTCCATTATCAATTGCCTCAAATATACCAGACAAGAACAAGACATAATTTATCATTCACGAGAGGCCACAGATTTATACTTTAAAACAATACTGTGAATCATTTATCAATCCACATTTAGTTCAAGATGCACGTGAATGGATTCTGGGATTATGAATTCCGTCAATAATAGTCCCCAAGCCCACTGGCTGATAGATGCAAATACTGTAATCTGATTCCCTATAAAAAAAAACTACATCACAGTTACTCACAACCCTTCGCGATTCTGTCATTCTGCAACACTTCAATATTTTTTCACTATGAAAGACATGGGCTAAAGCTCACCACCCTGCCTCCCCCCCAAACATTCTTCAAGAAACCTAGAAAAAGCCTCATCTGGTCCTGATGACCTGCTTGGCTCCAGTTCTTCCAACCGTCTAACAGCTGCCGTCTAGTAACTGATAAACAATTCAATATTTTCTCTGTCACCATCAAAACAGATTTACTCAACTTGCCTGTACTATATATAGCTACAGCCAATAGACAAAAAAGTATCCCTAAAGAATGCAACCCACTTTGTCATCATCATCAGCTACTTGACCCATCTCACCTTTCAATGGCCCAATCCTCTCCCAATATTTGCCTGACACATCTGAAAAAAAACCTGTCTTTGTCCACTTTGCAACATGTGCTTCACTATCGCATTTTGCCCCTCCCACCTCTCCTCTAACTGCTCTTGACAAGCTTGACAAACTGCTATTCCAGGAATTCCTTCCCACCTCCAAATTGCCTGTGTTGTACATAACTTTTCTTTCCCTGACAACACTCCCTAGCCCATCAGTTATGCAAATTGAGCTATTACTATTTGACCAAACTTTCTCAGAGGGTGCACAATATCCCCAGGCTCCAGTTACGCTAACTTCAATCTGCCTCAAACTATTATGCATGTTAGTGGCTTTGCAAGACTGTGAAAATACCAATCTAATGTAATCTCACCAATCCATTGTACCTTCTCGTCAATAAAATTATTATTATTAATCAAACCTACACTATTCTTATAAAATGTAAGAATCACAAAAAAGAAAAGAAAAAGATGCTTGTTTAGTATATACCTTAGAAGTACAGAATTTAACCAATTCATTTTTTGGTTTCCCACTGTTGGGAGCAGGAAGCCTGCTTAGCTTATCGAGATAAACGACTGACATTCCCCAGAATGCAACCCACAACAGTTGCTCAACTCTCAGATACCTATTTAATACTAAGTCAACAGAGGCATTAAACATAAGGAAATATGCCCGAATATCTCACTCTACACACGATTCAAACACAGGATCAGTCAACTGTGCCGACCACTGTATTATCTACCCAAAATACCATTGACACGTAACATAAGCGAGAAAGTGATGGCACTCGAGTGAAAATATGAGGGTATGATTAAACGAAATACACAATTGCCCTCGTCAAATCCTAAAAGCCAAAGTCCTCCCAGGTAAACATTGAAATAAACATCGCCAGAATCTTGCTTAAAATGCCTTAACAAATTAAAATAATAAAGTGGCATCACTTGAACTTAAATTCTACCCTTGGCAGCTCTTTACTGTTCAAGAGTGCCATAAAAATATTAGCTTGCACTTAAAATCTCAGTAACCATAACCTGGCCAAGGTGCCAGAACAGGCTCTAATCTTGCTCTCTAACTTCAGGAAGTGACCTTAGAGCTCACCGATTAAAACACACACCTTAAAATGACTTATAGGCTCTACCTGAAGGGAAGGAAAACGAAATATAAAAGCCTATCAATATTATTTAACACACCACTCAAAACTCCTGAAGCTAGTAACAAGAGGCTAGTTAGGGATACGAGCTCCTACGAACACTTTCCTCATGGTATACACGACCATTTCGTCGTGTGTGTGTTCAAGAATATACAAATGATGGAGAAAACCACCTACCTCGAGTCAGGGCTTAAAAGTTGACATAAAATGTTTGGCTTGCCATCTCACGCAGCCCGAGAGTCCGATACAAAACACTTCCTAAGCTTGGTAAGCACTCATCGTATAATAATAAAGTTGACATGTCGTCAAATAGAAGCTAAAACAACATTATTTTATATAATAATTATTTAGATATAATATGCAGTGAATATTTTGAAATATAAATACAATATATATTTTATACGAAAACGAGTATATTTACCACAGATCTAAACAATAGTTGTGATTGGCTCCGGGTGATGGTGGGAGCCAATGAGAACCCTGACTGGGTGGTGGGGGATAATGACGTCACGAACGGGAGGGTGTTGTTTGGGGTTTGCCTGGGTGGCCGGGGAGGGAGGGCTGCCGGGGGCACATGATCGGTAGCTGTGGCAGCCGCCGCATGGGGATCTCCGGCTCACTCCTCCCTCTCTCGCTCCCTCCACCGCCATTCCCCCACCGTTGGCCTCAGCCTTTTGTACTCTCCTCATAATGGCCCATCCGCCTGGGAGAGAAGACGCTGATATGGATGTCAACTCCCCAGAACAGGCTTCCGACATGGTATAAATTGATAATTAATGGTCTTTGCAGCGATTTATTTTGGTGCAGTGTATCTTTAGTAAATTAACAGTTGGGTCGAGAGCAGCGGGCACACTTGTCTTACACTTGGCCACTATTGGATAGCTTTGTCGCTAGATAGCCTAATTTAACTTGATGGATCCTTGGGCTGAAGTATAGATATAATTACGTTCATAGTTACTGTACTGTAGGGTAATTAACCTTTGTACCCAAATTGGACAGCCATAGGAATTTAGTAATACCTGTATTGATATTAATGACAAAAGTATGCACAATTGACGAATATTACACACTAACATCAGTATTGCGTGTGCTTGTGTATCTCAACATCATAATTACTTGTAAATTACTTTTGAGTTCATCTTGAGGAAACTGTTGATTTGATTACAATAGATGTTCTTGACTTTAAATATAAACTATCACATTTCCACAAAAGAGAGGGAAGTAGATTTTAAAATACTGTTAAGGTTAATTATGATTGTGCAATGATTATAATTTTGTTAACATTTAAATAAGTACATTATAGTTTCCTTACTGGGTCAGGATTTGCTTTAATCCAAGTTTAGCCGATGCAACCGGGAAACTTGCACATTTTCACATGTAGATGCAAATTTTGAGTGCATATTAATTAACCTGTACAACAGTATTATGCAATGTCAAGCAAGTGTGAGTTCAGCATCAGCTGTATAATGTCTTTGTTACTGTACCTGTAAAATGCTTTCATTGGTGTTTTCCCTTACAGAAACTTCTCTGCCTAAATGGGATGACTTTGGAGAGTTTTCACACCACATTTTTTGACTAATTATTTCTTTGTGTGCACTCGAGGATAGAGGAGCAGAAGTGTTGAGACTGACATTTGCTGCAATCAAGGAGTTCTTTGCCGTGGGTCATCTCGTCTTGTGTGCCTCGGGTCGCAATATACTGTACTAATTCCTTCACAACCAGGTCCCCCCAGTTACTGCTAAATGAAGAGATGAAGGATCAGTGCCCAGTCATCCCTACCCAAGGATGTTATTCTTATGCAAGTCTAGTGGGTGAGAGGTACCACATAAAGAATTGCATAGAAAAGTTGTACCTAGTGGAGTTATCATAAGTGAACCACTTGTTTAGTTTAAACTATACTGTATTAGAACATCAGAACCATTGGATTTATCTAAATGCTCAATACTGTGTATGAAATTAGAAAGATGGTAATAAACAAAATTATACAAATACAGTATTTATAATTGAGGTAATATTGGACTTGACACTGTAGCCCTTCACTGAGCTGCTGCCTAATTCCAAGAACTATAAGTGGCAGAAGAGGAATACTGTACTGTACTGTATTGGCATGCACACCCAGATTATTCCTAATCAAATATAAACACTTATAAAAAAGTAATGGTTCAGTATTTGGAATTGGGATTAAGGCCAATCAACATCACAAGAATTAAGACAATGACACTAGCTTACTATCTGAGAAGTATTCTACATGGTGGATTCGCCTTTGTGTACATATCTCTTGCATGAGCCATTTGCTTTGCAGTACAGTAATGAGAATTTCAATTGTTTTTAGATCAAATCACAATGTGAAAAAAGATATTAAAAATGTAAAAATATTGCTGAATCTTAATTCTCTGCAACACCTGTCAAACGAGCTATCTCAGTGAACATGGTGCAAAAGAGATAGCAGGCTTCAACCTGTTGAATAACCACTTCTGGCAACTTTGATACAGTACTTTGATCAAACTGTAGAGGGAATCATTCTGGATGAAGGATCTGTATCCTGGCATTTAATAATTACTTTCTAAAGTACCAGAATATAATTTCAGGTTCAATGTTGGCGGGTACATCAGTTCATCAAATTTCTTTAAAGACAAATTCTATAATTGAATGCAGTATTTTAATGGTTATGGATTATGTACTGATTTGCTTGTGTACTTAGCAGGATGTGGCGACCTCCCCAGATATGGAACATCGCCTTGACACTACTCCCTGCCAAGTTGACAAGCATCTGGACTTTGTTACTATAAATAAAAGTTAGTAATTTTAAACCTTTTTTAAATTTTTAATTCATCTTGACAATTTTGAAAATGGTGTATTTTATTGATTTTGGCTCATTACACAACTCTTGTAAGGATATAATGACTTTATTGTGTAGGTACAGTATGCAACCTGGATAGGACCCCCTGGATGCAACCCTAAACTTTCCTAACTCCTGGGGTACCTATTTACTGCTAGGTGAACAGCAGCATCAGGTTAATGGAAACATGCCAACCATTTGTCCTGCCAGAAGATAAAGCCAAAGATCTATTAAAAGTAGAAGAAAACCTCTCTACTACTGAACCCTTAGCATTATGACCCCCTGGATGCAACCCTAAACTTTCCTAACTCCTGGGGTACCTATTTACTGCTAGGTGAACAGCAGCATCAGGTTAATGGAAACATGCCAACCATTTGTCCTGCCAGAAGATAAAGCCAAAGATCTATTAAAAGTAGAAGAAAACCTCTCTACTACTGAACCCTTAGCATTTGAAGGGCTTAGAGCTATATGTTGATCACAAATAAGCATATCGGCAAATACTGTAGTATCCTATAATGTTTTGAAACTTGGCCAATTGGATTTTTGTTTATTGTAAGAATGGCTAGATATTCTAAATTTTAAATATTAGAATATCATATAATAGGGAGAAGATGGAGGTTTTCCCAGTTGTGTAGATGCAAAATTGCAAAGCTGATAGACCATACTACTGAAGCAAATTTTGTGGGGGGTTAAGACATTGAAAAGTATATAAACTAAGATGACAAAGTTTTCTTTAAGAATGTTGTATCTTACTATACAGTATTTGTATCCTGAGATGTGAAAGCCTGTGAAATCATAGATCAGCACTTGTGAAGGTTTAGAATTATAAATTCTTTCTTTAATTCAGATGGACATCTTCTCCTGGGAAGCAGCAGTCTGACTGGGCGCTACTGGGGAGGTTCCATATGGTACTACGACGATGTAGCGCTAGCTCCAAATGTTGAGAAATGTGTTGTTGGATATGAAGTTGGCTCAGGAGTTGCTGATGGGGTATTTCTTGATGACAAGACAATATTAATAGGACAGGTATGAAGATTTTTTATTTCCCAAAACCTAACCCCTTCTCATCCCATTCTTGCTCTCGTTTCTTCCCAGAGCACAAAGTGCTGACAACAAAGTACAGAAGCAGGCTAAGAGTAGACTTTGTAGGTGAAATGTTGTCTCCAAATAGTCCTTGTTAAATTGTTCTTACACAAGACTTGTGATTAAAGGGTAGGTGAAGGCTGGGCAAAATCAGGAAAGTGAAGAATGTTGGTTATAATTATTTTTTAATATTAATTTAATAAGTATTGGGTTTCATTATTACTTCACCTTGATAGCTCGATAAAATTTGGTTTAAATCTGGTTCTCAAACTAGGGTACATGTACCTGTGATCATTAGGTACATGTAAATAAGATATTGGTAGCATACTAGAAACTATCAAACATAAGAAGGGCATTCAGAAGCTTAAACATAAACAATTTACACAGCCTGGTAACTGAAGAATTGTAGTAATTTGAGTTAACATAATTTGTGCAGTATGAACATTAATAGGGTAATGTGGTGATAATAGGAAATATTGGAGTTGTAACTGTATTTCTAAATAGTAAATTAATATGCTAGTTGCACATTTGTTTACTTTCAAATATATGTACAAGTTTTTCATTTTTTTTCTCATTGGGAAAGGTATTCCATATATTGGGTCCCTTTATTTGTATGGCATGGTATCAATAGGTTTACTTTGAGAATATCGGAGATACTTATTTCTGGTGTGATGTTCATGGGCTCTATTACATTCATGTATGAATTTTCCAATTGGTATTAGTGTTGAAGAATAAGGCTTTGGTTAGAGAATGTGTTTTAGGAATGAATGTTATGTTGTATTGGGGGGGGGGCTGCTGTATGTTGTCTGAACACAACCACTTGCCTCTATTTTAACTTAAATGTTTAAAATCACATTGGGAAATACAGAATTATTTTTCACATAGGAAATATTAATGCTCTACTATAAATAGGTTTATTTCAGGATTGTGGTTCTGTAGAATTTCTATCGATAACGGTGGAAAGTAGTGGACCATTAATGACGAGTATGTGTCGAGTGGACGATCACCTGGATGCTGTTACCTGTGTTAAAGTTACCTGCAGTGGGAAAACTGCTCTTACTGGATCATCAGATATGAGGTAATAAGTTCTTATCTTAATTTTGTTAGTCTCATTTGTCCTTTTTCACTTCCCAAGTTTCACTTGTGTACCTTTAATAAGTACAGTAGTATCAATGATTTTATCGAGATGTAGCAAATAACTAAAAATAAAATATTTCTTGTTTATTTTTGTGGGGCATAGGGTGGAGAAGCAGTGTAGGAATGGAATGAAGGAATAAAGTTAAAAGGTAGAGGGGGTAAATGGTATTTGGAGTGACTCGACCTTCATTTTACCTTGCACGCAGCAGCACCATGACAGACAAGTACTACTACAGTTTCCGAGGCTTCATAAAATTGTACAAAATTACTACCTGTCATTGTACTGTAATCATTTCTTTTTATTGAATTATCATTCCTGTTCATTGCTACTTAAGTGTTCAAATACATATTGTTACCATAACAGCATTTCCCTTATCCTGGGCCTTAGAAACTAATTTCTCTAAAGCTTATTACAGTAGTTGTATTAGACATAAGCTTTATTTAATATTATTACAATGAGAAAATCAGTAGCTGTGATGAGGATTCGAGCCTATGCTCTGGGTACTCCCAAGCAAATAGCCTTGGACAACTACACCATGACAAGGTAAAAGCAATGCAGCCTGGGATTCAATTCAAGCCAAGTCAGGGTCTTCATGCATTGCCTCCATGCACTCTGGGTATGGTCTAGGCGTTCATCTTCAATACTTCTCTGGGAGTACCCAGAGCATATGTTTGACTCTCATTGCTCCTACTGATTTTCTTAATTTCCATTTTATTTGCAGCATAAGGATGTGGGATTGTCAAACATCGACTGCTGTTCGTTTACTATCACTGGCGCACTCTCAACAAATTACAGGAGTTTCTGCTCATCCGTCAAATGAACAGCTGTTCCTTTCATCTGGAATGGATGGGAATGTACTTCTTTGGGATTTAAGGTGCCAGAAACCTGCATCTTGTAAGTATAAATCTGTTACTGGTAATAAATAAGCATTTCAATAATATAGTGATGACAGTACTGTACTGTAATATTAAATAACATTTCTGAGCATTCATTGCCGATGCTTCTGGAGCCAGAGTAACACTATCCACAGGGATAGTGTGCTAGGTTCTTGTGGCCTTGCTTCCCATCCCTTGCCTGACAAAGGTCTTTACAAATTGTCAGGAAAGTGTGGGTAGTGGTAAATCTAAATTGAAGCCATCACCTAGGTGATGGCTTCAGTTTAATGTTTGCACTTTTATTTAAAAGTATTAGTTTGTTGTTATAATATGTACTACACTTCATCTTCGTTCAGTAGCATACAGTATTTGGTATTCTCCATTTCACAATGTGGGGTCACATGTGTAGACTAAACCATGGCTACCCTCGCCGTTGCTACGTTCCCATTGCTTTAGTCTTTTAAGTTTTTATTGCAGTGACCACAAGTAAATTTGATTATGGCCATATTGCTTTGTTTACTGTTGTTTGTCTAGTATGTTTGGGGAAGGGAGCTACCCCACAGTTGCCAAGTGTGCTGTGTTTTGTCTGCGTGCCAAGCTATTGTATAACATTACTTGTTATCTAATGTTGCAGCTGTGTAGTATGCCAACATTCAATATGCAAGACCAATTTGTCTGTTCTCTATGTATATATATGTATATATAAAAAAGTTATGGGGATGCTTCCTGGGGATGTGTAACAAAAAGGCCTGGTCGAGGACCAAGCCGTGGGGATGCTAAGCCCCAAAATCATCTCAAGATAATAAGTGTGTAATCTGGGATCCATTTGTACTTGTCATAGCTATGCAAACTTCATAAAGGGTTCTGTGATTTCTTTTTAATGTTGTATTTGTTGCGTTAAGGCAGTTGCCAATTTTTTACTGTAATTACTTCTGCATGTGAACTCAATATTATAATTCAGTACTTTGTTTTGCAGGAAGAGAACTCTTTTTGCCTCTTTACCCAACACAACTCATCACAGTTTTCTGTATTTTGACAATGACCCAAGTGTTTAGGTGTGTTTTAGCAACAATTTCTATTCCACAGGCATATATCGTGACTGGGACGACAAACCAGAGTGTGTAACATGGTTAGGAAATGCAGATTCTGGCAGTGCATTTGGAGATCAGTTCTTAGTTGGTCTTCAAAGTGGAACAGTGGCCTTGCGCAATACAAAAAATCTGAACTGTAGCATTTACTCATTTCAAGCACTTAACAGACCATTGTACAGACTTGCAGTAAATCCAACAAGGTACGTTCTTAGCATCAGTTATAATTTTAAAATTAAATGAGCACAAATTTTAGTTCTAATTCTAGCATTTTATAGTCCTGCCACATATACTCAATGATCCATTTTGTATTAACCCCCAAACTGCTCTGGACTATTTGGCCTTTGTCACCCACAGGCGCATAAAAAAAAATTCTTATAAACCTGTTAATTTGTGTTCCCTGATCACGGGAAAAATAATAAAAAAGTCATATTTTGGCCGCAATAGATGGGGGGGGGAGTCCGGCAAAAGAGGCGTTGACAGATCAAGTGTCAGAGGCGGTCTGCTCCGCCCCAGCTGTGAGGCGGGAGTTACCACAAAGATATTATTGCCTAATTATTTCAACGTGTCTGGTTTTTTCTTAGTTTTTTTGCAATAATATTATTGAATAGTGTGTATTGATACATTTATATAGTGTGAATTATTGCTGTACTCAAAATTATGGTGTGCATATTATTGATTCAATTATGTTCATAAAACAATAAAATCTTTTGCAGTTATTACACTATATACACAGGTTATATATAATTATCTGCATGTTTTGTTCACCATAATGAACCACTAAGCTTGATATTGAGTCAAAAAGCAATGAGGCGTGGCTAGCACACTCCAGCCAGCCCGCCACTGGCTCCCTCACCTTACCTCACTTGCCAACATTCTCATCCCACCATACTGTTTTTGCTTTTATTCACTATATACAGACGTTATATAAATATCTGCATGTTTTGTTCACCATAGTGAACCACTAAGCTGGTATAGCAAATGCAAACGGCAACAGGTGTCCACATAGATTCGGCAGACTACACTACAGCCCTCCCACCCCTCACCATTACTCCTCGCACCGCACAGTGCAAATTATCACAACAATCCTGCTATTATCAGAATCCTGGTCATTTATATCAGTCAGGGGTCTTCTGTAATACTATCATTACTAAATAATACCAGTTACATATATTTTTGCATTTTTAGGCAATGCTGTGGTTACAAGCTGAACAGCAGTGCTGTGAGCTCATGCTGCGTGCGCCAGACTTTGAGGCTAACTCAGTACTGAAGCCCTCACACCCGGGAATGTTGCCCACGATTTAAAAAAAGAGTTTACAAGAGCCCTGAGGAAGGTGATGTGAACCCCGTGTATCCGCGGGCCATTTAAATCTTGCGTAGTACTCCAAAACTGCACATGCAGTGATGCGTGCACTTTTCCATCAGTTGCTCAAAACTTCATAGGCAGTTTTACGTAGTGTAAGGGTTAATGTCAACCACATTTATAAACGTTAGGTACTTAACACGCTTGCGTTCTAATGAAGCTAAAACTTCATCGGTACTCTTTCTGTATACATTTCTCTTTTTTTCCACTCTCCATTTCCTGACTAATCCATCCTGGACCACTAATGGTCCAGGATGGTCAGAAATGTCATTGTTCCTTCATTTTCTGATGTGTGGTTTGGTCATCATATCTCCAGCCACGTTTTTGTGACATCGTCTGCATGGAATAGTTTGACTAAGGTCTTCACTGAACTGGCTAAAAAATACATTCAAAGAAATGGATAAGAAACGAAAAAGAACTAGATGGATGACAAATACAGTAGAGTGAGCTTGAACCAGTAAGCTCGACCTCTGCAAGAAGTTCTGTCCTATCAGTGACTATGGGTGACCGAAATCTAGCTCTTTATGCCCCGCCTTCTTTTACCCTTAATGTTTTCATCATATTTCTTTATAAACTTGCGGGTGGAATTGGCTTCAACCTTCTTTCAATGCATTCCTCTTTCCTATCACCCTTATAGAGAATGAGAGCTTCTTTACATCTTTGACGCGATTGCATATCCAGCTTATATCAGTGTGCCTCTTGTCCTATCCCTTTTTATTTAAATAAGCTTTCTCTATCCACTTTATTACCCTCAAGATCTTGTACAGTTTTATCATAGCCCTTCTGCTTCTTCCTCTCTTCATAAGGTTGTGAAGCAGAGTTCTCTTGACCAGTCCTCATGGTATCAGTCCAGTGTTAATTGCATATCTGGATAATACAAAAGGGCATTAAATTCAGCTACCCATAAAATGAGATAAAAGAAAAATAACTCAAAACAATAAGATAATTTCCTATTCTCTCATTCTACAACTAGAGATTTCTGAAAGTGTTTGTCACCACTTTGCTCATTCTTGCAAGAAGGGTCTGTCAGTATTGGAATGTGTTCATAACTCATGATTAGGCACCCTCTTGTTTAAAGATAAAAAGTTAGAAAAATCCCTATTAATGTTAACATATCCTTAAAGTTCAAGCTGGACAATTATATGCAATGGTACACAAAGGACAGTACCCACATTATTTGGCAAATTCATGTTGGTGAATGTGCAGATCATCCTCCTCGATATTTATTTGGTAAGCCTGTGAGCCAAGTAGTGGTTTCCGTTGGATGACTGGGAGATTCGTGTTTTAGTTGACCATAGCTCGGATTTCACTCAGGCGTCTGAGGAGTCAATGTAAATATTAATGTTAATACCCTTGTCTTATTTTATTTTTTTCCAGACCAACACTGGTGGCTGTATGTGGAAATGATACCAAAGTTTTGGTCATCGATATTACAAATGAAGTGATTGACCTAAAGTGAGTGAATTATTTTGTTCTAATTTACTGTAGTTATAATATTTTGTCAATATCGGTGTACTTAAATTATTTTTTTAAAGCTTTGAAGTTTTGTTGTAATGTACTCGTCAGGGAAATTCTTTATGGTTTTGTCACATTCAGTGTTTCCTTCAGGCAGGTTTCCATTCAATATCTGTGCCTTATTGTACCAATTCAAAGATTGAAAGGTGTCTACAACTAAGTACAGTATAGCTAATTAGCTCGTGTTTGGGCCAAGTATCTAGGAAATACATTCAGGGGCTAGCCCCTTAACCCTTAAACTGCATATTACCATGCATATTGGGGTCCCAGTAGCGAGAAATTTGAATTGTGTAAAAATAACTTTAAAATGTTAAACAAATCTTCAACTTACTGGCTTCAGTGTCATGAAACTTTCATCAAAATATTTTCAGATATTGATTTTAGACAATTTATTAAAAAATAAGAACGTTTTGTTGATAAAGAGAACAGCTCCTAATAATTGGAACTGAAAGATTATGCGGTAAGATATGCAAGCACCTGTCAGACGTTCAAAGAATAGTAGTAAGAAGTGTCCACAAAGTGGATATGCAGTTGGTGCCTTTATATCATTGAATAATACATAATAACAAATAATAACTGTTAATATGCTCTATTTTGTTATAAATCATATAAATACATTGTCCAATGTTAATGTTACTTTCATCAATGTCCCCCCAATTTTTTTTTTAGTAATTTAGTTTTTATTTTCTTTATCTGATTTTGTTGTAACCTTTACATCCTGGAGAATTCATATGTTTACCAAACTATGTGAAGATAGAATGAAATTGGCCAACAAATAAGTCGGTCACAACTCAAAACTTGGGACTTTAAATTTTTTGGCTGATTTTTTCTCTGCTTTCAAACTCTATTTTTTCTCTTTAGGTTGTTTGATGATTAGGGACCATATTAGGACTTCCAGTATGTGGCGACGCTTGCCCTGTGCCGCTCTGACATGGCGTTACTCTTGGTCATCGAACAAAATCCTTAGGACACTCTCACAGCTTCTTTTAGTCCTGTCTTGAGCACACGAAGTTGCCTGGCAGGCCTCGTACAGAAATACCTGCTTATTTTCCTCCAGTCGAAGATATTTTACATTAGTCTGCACAGGCACAACCACCCTTTAGGCTTCAGTCGCCTCTAATATCTTCATAACCACCGAGAAATGACGTACGTCACATCCTCGGCAGCTTCTTCACCAGTTGTACATTGTAGTCTTTACTCAATACTTTATCCAGAACCGTATTCTTCCATCTTCCCAGGAGATGGTGACAAACGTCCATTCCTGACACCTGTGGCAACTCAAGTGATGTTACGATGTCCGTCACGTCACGTCACAATGTCGAATCTTATTCCATCTAATTTTTATAAGATGCTCATCCTCTACTTGTATTCTTTTAAGTCACTCACTGACGTTTACTTAATAAATTTCCTTCCTTTGCTATTCAAATCTCTGGTTAGGTGTGCAGAATAACTCTCACCTGGTAGACTGACTTCACGAGGCTACCTGGGGTCATAACACAATACTGCAACAAGGATTTGAACAGCGGTTGCTATAGGAGTGATTCAACCATTAAGGGGGCATCAAATAATATCTTGGATGAAAGAAAGGTGGTTCAGAAGAATTATAAGCAGCTTGATAAAACACAAGGCCCGAACATAGAAAACAATATCAACAAAAATGTCAAGATAATGGTAGCTGAGATTGGCTCATCAAAAGTCTTGTAAAAGGTGGTAACAGGTAGATACTAATCCCAAGAGGAAGAAAATTCTCCGAAAATCTAAAGTGGTCAAAGTTTGAGGAGCCAGGAAGCATACCTGTTTTACCTGTTGGTTCCTGGAATCTGTCCCCAAAGATTCTCTGAATAGGCCTCCTAGCTGATCTGGTTAATCAGGGTTTTAAGCACAGCTGCTTTCAATCTGATTTATGAATCGCCTCTTGTTGATTCTTTGCAGGGATTTATCAAATTCTCTTGAACCCTGTGAGAGAGCAGGTAGTTACGCTCCTTACGTTTAGATGAAAAGTTTTGGGCTCTTAATGTTTATAAAATTCTCATCATGCCCATTGCAATTCTGCTTTTAAACAAGGCTGTTTTGCACTTCCTGCCATACTGTTTGCAGCCATATAAGATACATGAAAATGACACAACCATCATATCTCCAGCCTGGAAACTATAGGAAGCAGAATGTATCCCTCGTACCAGAAGCTGAAGCCTCGTGTAAAAAAAGAGATCCACCTAGGACATTGCAAAGTGGCTGAAACTCAAAATTCTGACCGATCAAAGTCTCCACCTAGAGGGTGTAGACTGTCTTGGATGGTCACTCTTTGGTAGATCTGAACCACCAAGGTGTGAACACTGTCCGCTTGGACTATGACCTGAGGGGAATGGAACAAGATTCACACAATCTCTTATATATCCAAACCCACCGAAACCCAGGTAAAGAAGTCGGTAGACAGAAAACTGTGCACAGTATTGAGAATCAAACTGGCACTCTTGCATTGAAGTAAATGCCTTTTGTCACCAAGGCAAACTATAACTGGCAAAACAACTAGAACCAAGCTCCAGTCCTAAACTAGCTTTAATGCCAGTGAATGAGGAACTGTCACACATAGGCCTTCTGTATTTCCCTGTTGTATATTTAAATCATCCTGTTATGGTTTTCCTTGTACACCAACTTTATTTTTCTCTTATTCCAGCTAGGAAGAATATATATGTATATTCCACTTATTCAATTTTTCTCATCACCTGAAATCTAGGTAGAAAACATAACTGACCTACAGATGTTTTTCCAGGTATGAGGATGACCGCCATGATGATTTTGTCAGAGGGGTGTCCTGGAGAGATTCGGAATGTCTTGTTACGTGTGGATGGGATAAGCAAGTCTTAATACATTGTATATAAATCCTTCTGCATTGTCAGTCTGCTGCAACATGTCCCCTCCCCCCCCCCTCCCTTTTCATATCTAAGTAATATGGTACTTACGTTGCATTGCACTCATGTCTCATTAATACCATTAAAATTCACATGAATTAATAAATTGCTCTTAAAGTGAAAATTTCAAGTCTAATGACTGGGAAATTTGTATCCAGTCTTTAGAAATGTTGACCGTTTTCTTGTCATACTATCATGTTCATCCCATTACAATGTATGAAAAAGATTAATTTTTCATAAAAATCATGCAGTTAATAAACTTTAAAAAAATTGGGTCAATTTTTACATCCTTAATGTAATTTTATAAAGCTTGATAGATTGCTATTAAATGGTAAAATTTTATGAAAGTATCAGTGCAGGACTATAACAGAAATTGTTGTCATTGCTGCAAACTCACTAAAAGTTACACAACAGGTAAGAGCAGCCGTCAGAAAGGCCAACCAAACTCTCAGAATAATCAAGCGTACCTTTGACTTTAAGGAAAAGGTTGTGATTCAAGTGTATAAATCTGGTGCACTCCCATTTGGAATGCTGGATCCAGGCATGGAGACCTCGCTTGCAGGAAGACATAACTGCTCTGGAGAAAGTGCAACACCAGGGAACAAAGATCATTCCAAGCCAAGTCATCTCGGGTATCAAGTGGTTGAGGGCCACAGGCCTAACACTGCAAACCAGGCATGACAGGGTGGATCTCACTGAAACTTAAAATGAACAAGTTGGAGGATGTTGATTGACAATTTTTTCAAAAGGTCGTAAGTTAAACAAGGACCAACGGTTTCAAGCTCACCTAACCTCAAATGTAGGAATGAGAATAGGAAATGCATTTTCACCCACAGGGTTATAAACCGCTTACCTGCAGCAGCCGCAAACGCCAAAACCTCTGTTTTAAATTCCACCTGGAGAGGATCATCCAGGCTAATAAGGGGACCTTCAATAAGTCACCGGCTTTATCCTCGTCGAGGTCACTAGTGATAGAGGCCCGCAGGTAAATAACTGAAGCTAACAATTTTATCTGGGTATTTAACTACCATATGTCAGCTTGGATCATATTTATAAAACTGAATAATATGCTTCATTACCAAAGAATTATGCATATGCAAATCCTACCAGCGCTATAGGCAGAGTTGGGGGGGGGGGAATAATACTGGCAAAGGTGTTGAAGCTGTTGACAAAGGTAAAACTACACAAGAACTACAAATTCAGGAAGGGGGAATATGGCGAGAAGAAAAGTGTAACTAACCGACTAATCGTACAGAAATACACACAAGAAAGGACATGTGTGCAATGTATGCAAAGGGCATTTGCAGACGTATTCTGGTAAGTAAAAGGGGTTGACTACAGTTATCCTCGTCCAAAAAATGCCTTAATTTACTTAAGAAGGGAAAATGTCGTTTTTGATCAACGTGCAGATATTTCCACCCAATCATGTGAAAGAACATTCTTTGACTCTTCGTGCTCAGGTTTGCATGTGACAGGCACAGAATGCTACAAACAGGAAAGTTCCAGAATGTGGAACAGAGGGAATGCATGGTATTGGAATCTGGACAGCAAACCATACATATATGCCAGTACACACCAAGAGTTACAACTTAGTAGTAGTAGTCGGCATCTGTCAGTCTCTGGAGACGATGGTGTTGAGCTCTGGTTGTCGGTCTAGAGAGGCCTCATCAGGGCGCAAAGCCAGGGTAGGTTGATATGGATGAGAAGCTGTTACCCAGGCAGCAGGTCCCCTCCCCTCTTCACGCAACCCGTTCTCGCAAATTTAATAAGTCAATATTGACTTATTAAATATGTGCATAGGTGACATACTTAACATAATAGTTTCCCTTGAAAAGCTTCATAGAAAACACCGACCTTACCTAACCTACTTAGTATGTTAAGATAAGCATCTTATTGCTTCATAATTACAATTATTACCTAACCTATACCTATAATAGGTTAAGTAACAATTGTAATTACGAAGCTATAAGATGCTTATTTTAACATACTAAGTAGGTTAGGTAAGGTCGGTGTTTTCTATGAAGCTTTTCAAGGGAAACTATTATGTTTAGTATGTCACCTATGCACGCAACTAATAAGTCAATATTGACTTATTAAATTTGCGAGAACGGGTTGCTTCACGGCGCCGAAAGTCTCCAATGGCAAGGTAAACACCAATACGATTGGTTCCAGCGCCGTCGCAGGAACTGTGAGTTCCGGAGTCGACCTCGAAGTTGGTGAAAGAAGGCACAGGGACTCCAACCCCGGAGACCGCCGTGGTCGTGGCCGAAGAGCCACCCCAGCAAGTGCCAGAACGACCCCTGCCTCCTGAAGCAGAGCCTGGGCCGCACGAGCCCCAGGAGGTGAACGGCCCGGTCCCGCACCTAAGGGTTCCAGACAGAGATCGTCACAGCCCTCTTTCACCCGAGGCCGGCTTCCTTCAAGACCAGCAGAAAGAAGAGTGATAATTATTAAAAACAATAATTATATTAATAATAATTGTTGTATTTAATAATTGTTTATTTGTATTATCACTCTTCTGCTTGGTCTTGAAGGAAGCCGGCCTCGGGTGAAAGAGGACTCTGACGATCTCTGTCTGGAACCCGTAGATTCCAGAGGCAGGGCATACTAGTTGTTAGTGTTACATTTCGAAGGGTCCAGTCTGTGGAACTAACTGATGAATTAAAAAAAAATACCCAACATAAATGCCCAACATATGCCCTGTTCAAAAGTAAAACCAAAAAAGTACCTAATTTCATCCTCATAGTTTCCTACCTTGTGCTTCAAACTCTCACTATCTTGTAATACCCACTTCCCCAATATTAGTACTTAAGACTAAGTACTTAATCGTTACCAATGTGATCACCTGTCAGTTTATTTTTTTTTTATATCAAACCTTGACACAATTGACTTTTTCATGTTACATGATATGTTAGATTAAGGACCTGCCCGAAACGCTATGCGTGTTAGTGGCTTTACAAGAATGTAACAATATCGCTAATGTAATCTCGCCAACCCACTATACTTCTTGCAACTACAACTACAACTAATTCTACAACTAAAAGCACGATTTTAGCAGTCTCCGTGGTGTAGTGGTAAGACACTCGCCTGGCGTTCCGCGAGCGCTATGTCATGGGTTCGTATCCTGGCCGGGGAGGATTTACTGGGCGCAATTCCTTAACTGTAGCCTCTGTTTAACGCAACAGTAAAATGTGTACTTGGATGAAAAAACGATTCTTCGCGGCAGGGGATCGTATTCCAGGGACCTGCCCGAAACGCTACGCGTACTAGTGGCTGTACAAGAATGTAACAACTCTTGTATATATCTCAAAAAAAAAAAAAAAAAAAAAAAAAAAAAAAAATAATACCGTAATAATAATATTTTATTTGCATGAAGTACAGTGGGTTGGTGAGATTATATTAGCGATATGTTTACATTATTGTAAAGATACTAAAGCTTTAGTGGCCTAATAAAGCAGGCTCTTATTTCCAGCCCGTTTTTCATTCATAAACAAGGGGTTTGGCGGGTGCATGGAATCACTTGAATCTTTGTTTGGAGGACGGACTGATTAATTTATATTTGAGAAAATTTCCGTTTTGAATGAACAGCATGTAAAAATTTATGAATGCGTCTGTGGGGTCGACCGCTGGATGTAATTGACTAGCTTGAGTCGAGGACGGGTTGGAAATAAACACTACTATAAGACAGCTGGACCAGTGGTACAATCCTGAACCAAGAACAGAAACCACCACAACAATAAAATTATATTACAAATCAACCATGCACAGTGGACATAAAAAAGAAGAAATAATCCGTAAAGGAGTAAAAAGCACAACTCGCTAACTAAAACATAGACCTAATAGTAATCTATAAAACCAAGAAGACTACCGACCTCCTTATCAAAAACAGTCCGAAGCCGACGGAGAACCCTTTACAGCAGTCAAACGTAGTATACATGTACACCTGCCCCCCACGAAGGATGTAACCTTCAATCGAAGTAAATAGGTATGACGTTGACCAAGCTGACGAGGCGTTTGGCCTGTCGTTTTCAATCCGGTGCCCCCAGAAATCATATGAGACAAGCCCATGACATCACCCAATTCAATTTCTTTATTATGCACCCCATACCCATCCCGTGGGCGGTGGTGTAAACGATTACAGAAGCACATAATCGGTTTAGGAACTGAACCCTCTAGTTCGTTTAGCTAAGCAAATAACAATCTTTTGACGCTAATTACAAAATTATTAATATTATATATACATCTTGAGATAAATTCGGGGCTTTAGTGTCTCCTCGACCAGGCTTCCACCTTCAGGAAGCAGCCCGTGCCAGCTGCCTAACTCCCAGGTACCTATTTACTGCTAGGTAACAGGGGCATCAGGGTGAAAGAAACTCTGCCCATCGTTTCTCGCCGGCGCCCGGGATCGAACCCGGGACCACAGGATCACGCGCTCAGTGTTCTGCCCGCTCAGCCACCGGCTCCCTTTATGTACATGTACATGTGTATGTGTACATGTACACATACTCATACATACATGTACATATATATACGTATACATATATACATACATATACATATTTAATCACCCACACAAATACACACATCAATAATCTTTTGTGTCACAAGTAATTCAGCAAGAGGCTCACAACAGTCACTATACAAGGCACTTTACATCTAAGTTACACAGTTACTAGTCTTGCTGCACACCCACCCACCTGGGCGGCAGCTTTACAGTCATGTGCATGCATTACCTACAGTAAGCAAATTTTGGATACTTCGCTAAGATTTCGGACAGCACATCATTATGAATGAAGTACTTACACATTTCTTGGACACTATTGATGGTGTTATCTCTAAATTCCGCGATTTTTTCATATTCCATTATATAATGACACAAAGTATGCGAATAGTTCTGCTGACAGAGTTTACATTTAGTCAAATCTACATCAGCAGATGTTACAAATTCCCAGAGGTACTTGTAGCCGAGCCTAAGCCTAGCAGTGGTAACATCTAGACGTCCCTAATAAGAGAAATGTTGAATAAAACACTCGTATAATAGACAAAACTCAAGATGTAAGAAGATTACAAATTCTTGAAGCAATCCCCCACCTCACACACACACATATATATACTCTAGTTACCCCTGGAATTGCATATATATATGCAATCCCAGGGCTAACTAGAGCAGTATATATATGTCACTATTGAAGGGGGGTAGAAATAGCCTAAGCTACTCTATCCCTTTGAGATGTATTTCTTTCTTGTCTCAATAAACATACTTGAACTT